AAGCATGTTTTGTTGTGTTGTCAGACTCTTGTTCAGAGTCTTCCTTTGATGAGTCTTGCAACTCAAAACACATCTCTTCTTGCAGAATCAGGTTTTTCACCATTTAGAAATACATCTGCATTTGTAGAACAACTAATAAGAATTACAAACTATCTCAATGACCTGTGTTTAGCCAGCATCGTGGACTGGATTTTCTAAAGCCTACAACCAGAGCATTAAGACTATTTTCCTCACAGGTCACTGGAATTACAATGTGCTGGAAAGCTTTTTATGAAATTTTAGCTCTGGAAATGTCAAACAAGTACTGCCTATCCCAACTTCAATACAGTAGTTACCTTCATTTTTAGTTTGAGACTGCTGAAAATGAAACACTCTATTTTGCAGCAACTTATCAGGGTCATTTTTTTCTCCTCAAATTGCTTTATTTGAATATTTAGGAGCCTAAAATGAGTTAACACTAATCCTGTTAATCATCTTGCATTACCAAAGGCTTGGAGGGATCTGGAGCTCGTTTTGGAATCCGTTGACCTGCAAATACAATACAACAACCAAACTGGTTAGAGAGGGATAAACTGAATTAACCATTACATGGCTGTACCAATTTATAAACAATAGCTACTGTCAATGTTATCATACAAATAACTGATCACTGATGGACTATAGTTTGAAGTTTCACAGACTGAGTCTTGCAGATCACACTGAATGCATGAAAGAGACGATCTACACTTTAAGTTATTTATCTAATGCGTCCTTGCTTGCAGTGACTGTGCTCCTACCAGCCCGTCTTCTGCTGGACAAGACGACAACATGGCGCAGAAGCTGTGGGAGCTGAGCTGCAATATGCTCTCCATAACATGGGAATAAACCAACCTGGAAGGACAAGAAAAACTTTTAGCGTGTTTCTCTGCTAAATGCTGCAATAGATCTGATTTCACCACTACTGCCTGCCTGGAAATAAGGTGCAGATGACCTCATACACTTGCATTCAGTTTTATATTTTTCCGACAATTGTTGTGTGTGTATGTTTTACATAATAACAGTATTTTATCAATATAAGTGTATATTTTGTGTAAAGTTTATGATCTTGATGTATGCAGGTGACTGTGAGCTTAAATAACTTTCTATTCATTTTGATAAAAGCTGTGTAAAGGTTACTTCAATGATATTGGGATAATTCAGTGACTCGGACCACGTTCTTGTCTGTGTCTAAAGGATTTTCTGTGCCTGTATTTTCTGACAGTTACGTTGTTAGGGTTGTCATACTGTTACACACTAAAATATAATAGAATAAAATAGAACAGAAATATTTTACTGATCCCTAAGGGGAAATTCTGTTGTTACAGTAGCAAGCAGAAAGAGTAAAGTGACCACCACCATAACAAAAAAATATAAAATATAATAGAAGTATAAGAGAGAAATATACTGAGATACAAAATGCACAATAGTGTAAAACATAGTGTGAATAAAACATTTACAAAATTTGAAAAAATGCACTGTGACGTGTCAGATGCTAACGAAGTCCTGTGAAAAGCAGTGACTCTTTTGTATACTTTTTAGTTTTTTCTACAACTTCTCTGGGTTTGTTTTCAAATTTATATTTAG